TCTCAACCAATCCCAGTGTCTGGAGTTACTATTGGAGCCATACCACAAGCCCAACCTACTGTTGTTCAGATCCCTGTTCCTCATGCTGAAGAGAATCTGCTAGACCAGTATGATGATGTTCAAACCTATCATGATGTTATCCCCATTGCCAGTCCTGTTGCTGCTCAGGATTCAGAAGCCATCAAGATGTGTCGCAATCTAGATGAGAAACTCCGAGTCATAGAGGGGCACAATTCAAGTTCTCTCAATGCTCTGGAACTGTGCTTGGTGCCAGATGTCATCATTCCTCCCAAGTTCAAAGCGCTAGAGTTCCCAAAGTACAAAGGCCTCAACCTTCCTAACATTCATTTGAATATGTACTGTCGCAAGATGGATGCCTATACCAGAGACAAAAAGCTAATCCTTGGCGAGCACCATAACCTAAAACCACCCATTTCCCCCTTAGCAATCGAACTCTTACCCTTACCTTTTTACATTAATCGCTTAGAAGAAAACAAATAAGCTTAGATAACAGTCATCACAAATCAAACTAAGACGTTCCCGTTGAGTACAACGGACGCATGGGGTGCTAATACCTTGTCTTTGCATAACCAACTTCCGAACTCAGAATGTGGTTGCAACGACCATGTTCTTATCTCTTTAAAGGTTTTCTCGATATTTTCCTTTCCCTCTTTTGGGATAAATAAAGTTCGGCGATGACACTGTCGAACCATTCTTCCACGCCTTTTGTGCGAGGATTGTATTTTGATTTTTCGAGGTGCGACACATACATGTTCCGTACAAAGCTTTCCTTACAACTAGACAACTTCTTGACAATGATACACACCTAGGTATCCTTATTCAAGCATTTCCATCTATTATATTCATCATGTCCTAATCATTTTACAAGTTCATTCCGTTAATTAATATCAAGGGTTTCCTTGCCATTTTTATAGTCTTTTAAGCATGTTATCACACAATCACATTCATATATCATCCATCATGTCATAACACAATGGTATATAGAAATATCATTCATGAAACACACATAATAGCATACATGTCAAACATAATCAACACGATAGTTCACATACATATAAAGGTATACAAGCCACTACTACCCTTCACCAAACATCCTTGATTAGTTCGTGGTCTCACACCACCCTATAAAAGCACATTGGATTCTTTTTCCAAGGCTTCAAGTCCCATATCAATCGGACTTCCAATTCATGAATTATGGTGGTTACTAAAATTGTATTACTCACATTCACTTTAATTTCATCTCTATCCTATCAATCAATGGTATAAACCCATGTTTCTACTTCACTTATCACATACATTATTGGAATAGATTTCCAAAGCTTCTGATCGTGTGTCAATCAGAGTTACGGTTCTCGAGTTATGGGGAAAACAATAATCGAGCATTTTTTTCTCAAGAAAACAGGGTATAGGTCGGCCTATGAAGGTTTCAGGTCGGCTTATGATAGTTTCAGGTTGGCTTATACGACGTGACGCATGGGTAGAATCTATAGGCTTCAATATTGATACGTGGAGGTCAACCTATAAAGGTTTCAGGTCAGCCTATAATGATGGAAGACTTCCATAGGTCGGCCTAAACCTCTATGTGTCAACCTATATCAGTATTTTTCCCATAGGAACTCCTTCATGCATTGCACCCATCCCAAACCATTCTTAGGCATGCATCATTGGTTGTTCCATTCTAACCACTATGGTACTCAAACTACCATTAACGCATTACATGGTTTATCAACAACAACGTAATCACCATGAACAAGACATGTTCAAACATCAAGAAACAACAACCACATAGTTTACCATGTGAATTTGCAACATGAACATGTAATCATACAACAATAGCAACATTTCAACATACAAGGACATAATAATCATAGAAGACTTAGTTAACTGATGGTTTATGGCAAGTTTTCATGATCAAGAGTAAACACTTATCATGTTATCATGGATTTCACTAACTATCCTATGATTCCAACATAAACCCTAATCCCTAAAATCAAGAGTTTCTATCTAGAACTCACTTGATTCAAGAAGATGATTATGAGATTGATGAAATTGGTGATGTTGATGGTGAAAATGATGATCATTCATGAGCTTTTCTCCTTCTTTTTCCTTCTTTCCTCTTCTCCTTTTTTTCCTTTTCTCTTTCTCTTTCTCTTACATTTTCTTTCTTTTCTTCCTAATAACTTTTTTCTCTTTCTTGTTTCTATCCCCTTCTTTCTTATCCACAAATTATTTTCTTCTTCTATCCACCACACAACATAAATATCAAGTATTATAATATAGTATAATATTAGGTAGTAATGTAAAATACCTCAACTGGTATTTTGTCTTCTAAGACCAATTGATCAAATATTAAAGTTATCAAAATATCCTCTCTTCTATTTATTAATATTGATCTCTCTCTTTTATCAATAATTGATCTCTTCAGAATTCACTAGTTACGCTATTGGTCCCAACTATTGACACTTATAGCACTTACGAGCTTCAATAAATTCAACTGGTACCCAATCGAGCATTTAAGAGAAATATGGAGTATTACACTCTGCAAGGTCATCACTTAATGAGTCTCTTCCAACTTCACATTTAATAATTCTCTGTAGTCATGATAGTAACACATCCAAAACTTAACCACGCTGAGCACAATTTATTAGATTTAATATACATTAGTCAATCATTTAATTTAATTATTCAAAACTTACTTTAATTATTCAATCTTTTTTAATATCTCATAACCATAAATGGTTTGTATAAAACATAATTATTTTTGACTTGGCTATATATGTACTATATTTATATATTGAAAAGATATGACTGTGACCTTTTAGATTTTAATATAAATTTAATTGAATTAAATTCTTTTAAAAAATAAAAATATACTTTTTAAAACTTTATGGATATATATTTGGGGTAATAGATGATAAATAACATATTTTTTGTTGAGCTTGTTTCAACAATACAGTTATGTTGCGATTTTACTTCATCCATGGAATTTTTTTAATCAAAGAAGGTAAGGTCGAAAAAGTATGAGACAAATTAATGTTTCATAACCTTTCTCCATTGTGCTTTCTAGATTAAAGAAATTTGTTGGTTTAAAATATAGTTTATGAACAATTTATTCGCGATTTTTAGTTTAAATCTAATAGTTTTTTTTTTTTTTTTGTAGTTTTTCTTAATTTTATATAAACTTTTCTTATTTATAAAAAAAACTAATTAGACTTCATTTTGATTCTCTGGTGGTTTGAGAAAATAAAGGAATATAGTGACATGAAGATCGACAATTATAAACTGACATGCTAAACTAACACTAACATAACATTTTACCTCTATGACAAACATCTTTATTCAGAGACATACATTTATATATTTTTTATTATCATGTGAGTAATATATGAACAAGCCAGTTTATAGGAAAAATATAAAATATTATTATTATTATTTTTTTTAGAAATGTCATATATTTAACCTTTGCTTTGAAACAAAAAGGAATAAAGTTCCAACCTTATACAGAAATTTTGTAAAATGGTTGTCGAGGTCACCAACTTAAATAATACATTCCTCGTGCTCCATTATTTATATCATAAATATTAATTTTCTGAACTGAAGTATAATAGAATTATATTATTTAAGAAATAAAATTATATGTTAGTATAAATTCTATATTTTAACAAACAGGATAAAATTTTAAATGTTACACGAGGATATGTTTTTTATACTTCATCTGTTAAGTTTTTAGTTTCATTTTTCAAATATTGAATTGTCTCGCATTATTTGTAATTTTAAATATCATCATAAATAGTGATTTTTTAATTTTTTACTAACATGAGAATTATTATTAATCTAAAACCTGAATGAGTCATGTTAAATATCAACTGCGAATTTAATATGACAAATAATGCTCTTTAATAAATCCAAGCAGTTTTATCGCAATATATTTGTATACGATAATTTAATATGACAAATAATGCCCTTTCATAAACAAAATAATTATTATTAGTCTAAATTATAGTTTTTGTCCCCCAATTTTACTTCATTCATAAAATTAATCCCCTTTAATAAATCCAAGCAGTTTTATCGCAATATATTTGTATACGATAATTTTTCATGTTTCACTAAAACCTTGTCATTTTATAATGAAAATATCATCAATTTTAAATGTAAAAAGTAAGAGAGGTTTTCATATATTTGTATACGATCAACATTGTTTAAATTTAAAATCGATAGACCAATTTCGTAACTCAGATAAAATAGAAGGACCAAAATTATAATTAAGGAACCAAAATATATGAAGGACAAATTGAGGTTTCCAATAGAACGTGGGATCATTACATGTGTAGTGAACACCACCCTTCATCTTTTAATTAATATTATTCCTTGTATCAAGGAAATGCTCATAAATAGTATTCATTCCATGACGATGTGTCCAACCAATTACAACATAGACATCATGAATATAGGAATATATATGGTATTATGAAGATATAAGTTTTCCTTAGAAACTCCGACATTATCTTGCAATTGGTTCGATAAATAATGAAGAATATGGAATCTCATCTATACAAATGACAAAATGTCTCTTTCGATTGTACAAGACAATGATAATAAGATATGAAGAGACAATAATATTTTTAAGGTATTTCACACAAAACGCTTGAAAAGTATTTCTGTTGTCACCAATGCACAAGAAACGGGTATATGATGATTCCAGCAGGAATTTTGTTCAAAATTCTTAGGAATAGTGACTGAACTTTTCTTTCTATAAAATATATTTGATGCTGTGATATAGACTGCATTTACTAACATACATTAAACATACATCTTATAAAACATGAGAAAATAATCACTGACAATCACTGCCGAACAGGATTGCTCTCCAGCAACATTCATCTGAGGGGGATGGGACTGTCCAACAGATTACTTTGCCTTCACAGCTACACATTTCCATAACTTCAGATCAGCAGCTTATTATCCATGCTAATGGGTTTTCACAATATTGTACACCCACAAAAATGTTTTCTGGGTGTATCATCAACTTTGTCTGTTCATGTCAACAAGAAAATGTTAACATTCGGTCATAATCCATAAAACACCGACACAGACATCAAACAGGATACTAATACAAACACATCAATGTGATACTCACTCCTCCGGTCCTTTTGGTAAGAAAACAATTCAGTTTTTAGATGCATTAAATAATTAATAAATTTAGACTATATATATATCAAATATATTGGTTATCCAATTAATCTAAAAAATTAATTGTCTCTTATAAAGAGGACCGGAGATAGTATTAATTAAAGAAATATAATTTCTTTGTGCCACTGATATGTGTCAGACACCAATCACGCATTAGATAAGTGTTGGTGCTGCATAGGTCACAACACTTGGACCTAATAGCTTACAACCAACATAGAGCTGTCTCTTTGAGACATTGTAACAAAAACAAATGCTATCAAGAAGTCTATTGAGAACGCATTTAAAATGTCGCTGCTGGGGTACCTAACTAAGGATTCTAAGATGATTCAAATTATCTACATTTCTACACCCGTACAATTACCAGTGCTGCATAGTTAAAGTAAAACGTGCCAAGGAGTTATGATAACAAAACCATAAAAACATAATTTGGTTCTAAAATTGTAATGAACTTAAAATCCCATTTATTAATATGCTAAAATGATAATTGAAATTGCAAATATTGAATCACATCCATCACTCCATTCATATATGGAGGGATTATAATGACAATGAGTTAGTAATGTCAATGATGTGTCAATTAATAGATCCAGACCAAGGAACTAGCCTAATTATGTTTTGCAATTCTATGGATCATTTTGGAATAATGAAAATATGAGACTAGGTTGATACACTCTTACAGCTTCAGGGACAAATTGGATACTTACTTGATAAGAAAACCTTGGGGTACCCTAATCCCTAAAAGCAACTATGATAATGAGATGAGGTGTAATCAGGCAAAGGAAACCCACCAGAGATGGATGCATAGATATACCAGGAAAACCCAAATCACAAAACATTGTCCCACCATTTTTTAGAACATCGGTGAGTTCTTTGAGAATAGTATGCTGTTTTGGGGTGCTACTGGTGGGAGTGGCACAAGAACTGAATGGCACTAATAAATTAGAGTCCAAATATTCAAAATGAAGAATATGACCCTAAAAGTAAAGTGCAACTAAATAGCAGAACAAAACGTATGTAAACACAAACAAAAATTAATTAACTAGTTAATAAGCAATCACCTTTTAGCATATCTACAAAATATCTCATAATATCATCATTCTATAATATCCTAGAGATATTATTAATATCTTAAGAGTTGCTTTCATATTTGAAGATATGTTTCTTAATAAGGATGATAATAAACACAATCATGGGTTAGTACTATGTCCTTTTCATCAAATCCCTCACAATCATAATAATACCAATATAATTGGATTATTGAGTTTTTTCCTCTCTTCCTCCTTCCTTATTCAAATCTCTATTATTTCATCGACGGCATACAAGTATAAACGCGTTAACTTCTGGAACAAATGAACTGACTATCAAAACAGCAATAAATAATCACACAATATACTTTGGATTTGGGAGTAAAATCTACCTGATTTTGCTTTTGCCAAAGATGGCTGGACAACAACATGCATCGTGATGACCCCCTTAGGAAGCTCACAAAAAGGCACTCTACACTGGCCAACCGTCTTGTTGTTCTCCAAAATTTTGCCAGCATTTATGAGTTTTATATCATTTGCTGCCTTTGGTATGATTTTCTTGTCTATGGACAACCAAAACAAAAGACAAATTTATAATAAAAAAAAAAAAAAAAGAAAAAAATTGTTAGAAAAAGAAAACTGTTCAAAAATGAAGGACAAGAATATAGCACTAAAGTAACACAAATTATGGTTGAATACTAAATGAAGTGGAGCATAATAGAATGACATGGAATGAATTGAAAAATAATGGAACAGAAATCAGAGGGAATACACTCAGCATTCCATTGTTTGAGAAAAAACTCGTTCCATTCCTTCCACCAAAATAGAAGAAATAGTGGAAATTTGATGGAATGGGGTAGAATCATTCCATCATACTCCATTTTATTCCATCCTATTTCAAACTATTCAAACATTGCCACATTCAATGATGATTCAATCATTCCTTTCCATTAATCGAAACATATCTCCCACGTCCATAATAAAATAAGTACACAACAATCATCTCTAATACAAAGTGGAGTATGACTTTGCTGATGGCAACATCCACTGGAAGTATTCAATCAAATATCATTGGTTCCTTAACGATAAACATTTAGAATAGGATATGAAGAGTAACTAACTACTTCATATGTTGCACATTTGTATGTCTAAAAGAGATTTTGGTAACTGAAACTGTTGTCCAGTTATTCGTTTTGATCAAAACCAGAACATCATGATACAAAAATCTGAATTATTATTATAAGAGAAACTTAACAAGGGAGGATATCCCAAACCATAATTACAAGTTGCCAATTAGTTGGAATTAAATATTTGACCCAATTAACTCTGATGCATGTTGCAGAGTCTATGTCTTACTAAAAATCATAAATCTTTATCTAAGAGTACCATTTTCAACAACAACAACCACCAAGTCTTATCTCAATAAGTGGGGTTGGCAACATGGACCAAATTATGCCAAAATATTATATCCAAGACCATGTTTCTATCCAATTCGTTAATCTCAAGATCTTCCATAATAGTTTCTCTTATAGTTTTTCTAAGTCTTCTTCTATATTTAGTTGTTTGACTCCTCTCCATCTGATTTATTCCCCTTACAATAGAATCTACAAGTCTTATCTCCACATGCTCAAACCACATAAATTTATTTTCCACCATCTATTCTACTATAGGTGTTACCCCAACACTCTAATATTTTCATTTCTAATTTTATCTCGTCTAATCTTACCACACATTCAATGCAACATCTTCATCTCCGCTACACTTACTTTATTCCAGTGTTGATTCTTAACCACCCAACATCTTCAGTCTCGTACAAAATCGCAAGTTTTACTGTTGTTCGATTTTGTGTCACATAAAACTTCTAAGGCCCTCCTCCATTTCAATCACTTACCTTGAGTTAGATGGTTTACATCCCCTTCCACTTCTCCAACGTTGTGTATTACAGACCCAAGACATTTAAACCTTGTGATTTGTGATATAATATGGACTCCAACTTTCACATTTAGGTTAGAACATATAGCATGCTAAGCAGAATAGCATAGCGGCGAAATAAGCGGAATAGCATAGCGGCAAAATAAGGGGAATAGCATAGCGGTGTAAGGGCTTGGTACAACACTTTGGGCCTACAAGTTGCCGTCACCAATAGACGTTGTTGCGGCAACTAATTGCTGCAAAATTGCGGCTGCTAATTGCTACGAGTTGCAACTGTTTTGTTCTTCTTCCTATTTCTAGTTTACAGTTTAGTCCAGTTCTTCTTTGCTTAAGTTTTATTGTTTTACACTTCAGGTTTCTTACCTATTAAGTATTATGAACTCTATAATTTTGTGTATTTTCTATTTTTGAATATTTATGTTTACTTAGAGTATTGATTTTTTGTCTTTTTCAATAGCAGATATCCCGCTATCCACTATAACATTATGCAATGCTATCTGAGCTTAAAAACATAGCCAACTAAAATGGAAGAGCCAAAATAGTCAATTGCATGAAGACAACAACCACAAGAATAGTGATGACAAATAAAAGCCTCTCAATGACCTTTATAACCATTACCAACCAAACCAAATCACTTATTTATAGCAATATGTAGCATAGACACACTTTCCCTTTTTAAACATCTCAAGCTTTCAGAGTAAAAACACTCAAACATAAATGACTTCACTTAAAACTCAATTTGAACCAAATCAATTAACAAAATCATGTTAATTCAAATTCCAATAACCAAAATGCTCGCCCTAACAATTAATATGTATACATGATCGTACGATCACCATTTTCTTTTGTATTTATTTTACATATCCAACTCCCAAAACTAATTCACATATCTAAAAATGCAGGTTGCCAAAAAAAAAACACTATTGAACCTTTTCTAGATAAAATCTACCAAGTAGTTTCCCTTACTGATCCAGCAGATATTAACATTTATCAGTTTCCAAAACAAAAAAGGCAGAGCTTTCTTCTCTTTAAAAACAATACAAAAAACAAAAACTTACCCAGAAATACTAAACTTATGACATCACATTCACTAATTTTTCTTATCCAATAAAAGCAAAGAATCTTATGCTTCACCTAATTCAACCACCCAATTGAAGCCAAAAGCATTTTTATTCAAAGCAAATTTATCCAACTTCTAACAAAGTACATATATAGAACTGCAAAACAAAAATAAATTAACATACCACTTGCCCCATTTGGGTATAAACAAACATAAAAAAACATTATCCTCCTTTTAAAAAAAAAACATTATCCTCAAAATAGAATCCATTATCACCTTCACAAAATAGCATCAAACACAATATTAATAAATTTAATAAGAAAGCCCTAATTCGGCTAAATAAGACCACCAATTCAATTCAAACACAGCATCGATGCAGAAGAAGCACGGACATCAGAAACACGATACCGACACGTCGTCACCGGTAATAACTTTAAAAAATTAATTAATTAAATGTAACTGCAAGTGTCGGTTTTGGCTTCCGACACGGAAACTGACATGAACACACTTTTCTCAAAGTTGTACGTCCTATAGAACAAGCACAGACATCGAAAATACGACACCAACACTAGTAATAATTTTAAAAATAAGTGTTTGTGTCGGTTTGGACACCGCCGCTGGCCCAAACACAACTTTCTTCAAAGGTGTCGGTACTACAAAGTGCTGGTTAACATTTAATCACTTTTATTTTCTCAAAACAGCTTGCACAAAAAAAACAGCTATTATGAGGAAAAAAAAATGCAACGAAACCTCACCAAAAGAGCTAAATCATTGACTTCATTCATGCTCAAGAACTCAAAGCCCTAATACGTTGAAATTACAATCAGAATATCAAAATCTAAAAACACACACCAAACAAACACTAAACAAAGATCAAACCAAAACGAAGCACGAATTAACAAAATTGAAAATCAAAAAAATCAAAAGTGCTTAATTAATTAACCTTTAGGCCATTCAGCGAAAATCCTTTCTTTGAGCATAGAAACAGTTGAAGTTGGTGAATAACGAAACGGTCCAATATCCGATCCATCGTATAATCGGAACTTGAGCTCCACCAATTCCTCTTCCGGCATCTCGAATCACAAAAAATTACAACAACAAATAACAAAATTAATCAATCAAATTAATAATCTCACAGTAGCACTGTTTGAGAGCAATTAGTAGCGTTTTGCGGTGGTTTTTGGTGGTGAATGATCAATTGAAAGTGGTAGTTTTGTTTTCTTCGTAACTATACATGGTGATTTTAGAGAGAGAGTTGAATTGGAATTGAAATTAAAATTGAAATGAGAGATATTTAGAAAGTAGGGGAGAGAGAATCTAAAGGTGTAAGAAAATTGTGAGAGAATCTAATCTAATAAAAAGATAAAAATGATAATTTGATACATCACTCGGACAAACCCTATCTATCTTCCGATCTTGACGCTTTCTCTTTTTGATTTTTTTTTATTTATTGGATTTTTTTTAAAAGTTTAATGTATTTAGATTTGTTTAATGTATTTAGATTTGTTTACTAAATATTAATTCTCATTTTTATTTTTTAATTTATTTATTTCTAAAATATTAATTTTTTTGTTGTCAGATCTGTTAGAATAATTATGGTTTCAAGAGAAGTGAAGAAGAAGACAGAAATTATATGTGAAAAGGAATTTGATTAAAATGAATTGTTGTATTGAAAAACTATTAAGTGTTTATATCGTCACCTTTTTATATGGTCATCAAAAATACAAACTTACAAACTGCATCATTCTACTTAATCGAATGCATGCTTACTCAATCTAACAATTACATGTTGTATTCGACTCTGCCGAATACATCTTACTCTTACTTTACTCACTTCTTCGACTAGGTCTAACACACATAAGTCGAATACCACTTGCATTCTAAATCATTGAATCACAACTTCTAACACACCTCCTAATTCATGTTTTCGAGACTTCTCGTCCCAATTCTTTTCTTTAACTCGTCAAACCTGACTTTCTACAGAGATTTTGTGAGTATATCAGATAGTTTTCATCTTGTCTTGCGATGCTCAAGTTCAAGATTCCCTTTATTTACTTGATCCCTAAGGAAATGATACCTTGTATCGATATGTTTACTTCGACCATGACACGCACGATGATTTGTCAAGTCGGACGTTGACTTGTTATCGACAAACAACTTCATTTTCTTAAGTTCCATGATCTTGAGATCTTCGATCAACATCTCTATCCATGATGTTTGACACGCTGCGTAACACCATATTTTTCCCTCGCATAAATATACGAAAATCAGAGTAAATATAAATGCCATGTAACACTAACAAATAGTAACAATAATCAATACCTTCTCTTGGGGTGTTTTCGCATCCTCACCTTCACTTAGGGTATCATCGTAGCATAATTTCTCATAAATAAAATATGCAATCAATAAATCATTTAATTTCAAAGACTTTATAACATAAACGAAATCATAAATGCAATCTCTTCAAACGTAAAAATATAAAACAATGAGAGTGTACTTTAACTCTCTTCTCAATAAAACAAAAGATAAATCACAAACATTTCCCCCAGTATTACATATCAAAGCACGTAAACTTAACGCATAAATAAAAAGAAGAAACCGTCTCATGTCATCCTTCATTCTAAGCAGTTACTCAGTTACCTCCTTATTTGTACTCTGAATAGGAGCACAGACCATAACAACAACAACAACAACAACAACAACAACAACAACAACAACAACAACAACAACAACAACAACAACAACAACAACAACAACAAAAGGGTGAAAATCGCAAATAATAATAACAGACATATATTGCAAGGTAGGATAATAACGCAGCATTCTATATGCAATTTCATTCACAATATATCTTATTACAAATTTACGCCCAACCTCATTAATCAATCACAACTCAACAATGATGCATATTGTTAGAACACATATTGGTGTTTAATATATCTCATTGTTTTGATGATAACATCAATGAAATTTTGCATAAAAGAAATATATACTCCAATTCTGTTCAAGTGTTTATTTGTTTCAGATATCAAAATTAATATTATTTTGGAAGCAAGAACGCCTCTAAACATTACAGAACAATAAAGCTCTGAGCGTCAGAAGCAACACATCAGAAGACTCTGATCTGCTACAGTGACTCTGAGCGAAGCTGAGAAGAATGTGAGTGAAGCTATGTATGTAAAGTTGCAAGAAGACTCTGAGCGTAAAGGCATATCTAAAGAATCAGAAGACTCTGAAGGTACTCAACGCTGCAAGTACAGAGGCTCTGATAAGCAAGTCTGCTCTGATAAAGATATTCACGCTTAAGGCATTTGGCTGCAAACTCTGATAGAGAAACTCTAATTGAGTTAACACTGATCTGAAGAACTAGGAACATCATCAGAAGTTTTGATGCAAGACGTTCCAAAGTTGTTGAAGAAGATGTTGTTCAAATAAAGATCCGTTGGCATATTCCTTGTCATTATCCAAACTGATCTTTCCTCATTTGTGCTTGACACAGGAATTTAGACAAAAAGGATTTGTCTGAACACTCCCCTTCTAAGAAAGGAAAAGTCAATAGAAGACAAAAAGCAACAGAATGCTCAGCATTGCACAGTCTTTGAGAAATGGACTTCAAGTATTATAAAAACAAGTCTCAGCATCACTTCAATGTTGACGAACCATTGACAAATCACTTGACAAACAAATCATTGAAACATTCTTCAAGCTGAATATTTTTCATATTCGTTCTTAAACTTGTGTAAAAATCACTGTTGTAATATAGCTTTTTAGAAGCAACTTTTAAACACATTGTTAGTTTATCTTTTGTAAAAGATTCCTTAAGAGACCAAGTGTGGTCAGATTTCTTGAGAAGACTAAGACAGTTGTATTAGTGGTTAACACTGTAATCCGTTTGATTTAGTGGATTAAGTCCTTGTTGAGAAAGGCAAATCACCTGGGTAGGGTGGACTGGAGTAGTTTGAGTTCAAACGAACCAGGATAAAAATACCTTGTTATTTTTCTATCATCTTAACTGTTTTTAAAACCCTTATTCAACCCCCCCCCCCCCCCCCCCCCCGCTTCTAAGTGTTTTTCCTACCTTCAGTTGGCATCAGAGCTCCGGTTCTGTAAGTGCTCTTACTTAACCGTGACAGAAAAAGATCCTGTTGGGAAAAACTCTTGATCTATTATTCTTGATTTATCATGGCTGAAGCTTCAACTTCAAAAAACAACAAATATGATGATAGAGACAGAATCAGCACCAAACCTCCCATGTTTGATGGTAGAAGTTTGATTATTGGAAAGATAGAATAGAAAGTTTCTTTCTAGGCTATGACGCTGACTTATGGGATTTGGTTATTGATGGTTATATTCATCCTACAAATGACGAAGGCAAAAAGGTTGACAGAAAGTCAATGTCTGATCAACAGAAAAAGGATTTTAGAAACCATCACAAGGCGAGAACCATTCTATTAAATGCTATATCTCATACTGAGTATAAGAAAATAAAAAATAGAGAAACAGCATTCGATATGTTTGAATCTTTAAAAATGACGCATGAAGGAAACTCCCAAGTAAAGGAGACAAAGGCCTTGGCGCTCATTCAGAAATACGAAGCCTTCAAGATGGAGGAATCTGAATCTGTAGAAGCTATGTTCTCAAGATTTCAGATTCTAACTGTTGGTCTGAAGGTTCTGGACAAAGGTTACTCTACCTCTGATCACGTCAAGAAGATAATCAGAAGATTACCTACAAGGTGGAGACCAATGGTGACAGCGCTGAAGCTTGCAAAGGATCTGAATAAGATCACTCTGGAGGAACTTATCAGTTCCTTAAGGAGTCACAAGATTGAGCTGGAGGAAGAAGAGCCTCAGAAGAAAGGCAAGTCTATTGCGTTAAAATCTAACAAATCTGCTAAAGCTTTGCAGGTTATTGAAGAAAGCTCTGAAGAATCTTTAGAAGAAGAAGATGAACTTTCTTTGCTGTCCAAGAGGATAAACCAACTCTAGAAACATAAACAAAAGAAGTTCAGAAACTTCAAGAGATCTGATCAACATGGCGAATCTTCTGGACACAAGAAATTTGGAAAGAAAGATGTAGTGTGCTACGAGTGCAAGGAGGCAGGCCACTATAAAAATGAATGTCCCAAACTTCTGAAGGAGAAACCCAAAAGGAAGTTTAAAAAGAAGAAGAAGGTTCTAATGGCCACATGGGATGATTCAGATGCTTCTGAATCTTCATCAGAGTCAGAAGATGAATGTGTTAATGTAGCACTGATGGCTGACGTGGAGGACCACGAAGAAACTGTTGAATCTGGATCAGAATCAGATTCAAAAGAGGTATTTTCTGAACTTTCTAGGGCTGAACTTACTGAAAGTTTATCTGAAATTCTTGAAAGCTACAGCAAGATCAAACTCAAATACAAGAAGCTTCAAAGTTGTCTTGCATCTGAGAATGATCAGCTGAGATCAGAAGTTACTGAGTTTAAAGCAAACAATCTTAAAATGAAAAATGATTTAGAAAAAGCTCAAAAATCTGACTCAGATCCTATATCATGCTCTAAAAAAAATTTAGAAGAGTATGATTATAGCTTTCAGAAGTTTCTGTCCAGAGGCCTAGATAGAAGCAAAATGGCTTCCATGATCTATGGCGTAAGCAGAAACAACAGAAAGGGAATTGGATATGAATCACCCTCTGGGAAGGATTTAAATCCAAAACCTGTTGATAAACTGATCATTAAGTATTCTCCTTTGTATACTCACTTCAAATATGGTCACTTGAATGATATTAAGCACACACGTTCTGATCAGAACAACCCTGTGTTTAATAAACCAAAACTTCACCCGAACAAAAATGCTTTTAAGGGAAAGAAATTCAGACAGAATTTCAAACCTACTAACCCCAGAGTACCCAAGAAAATATGGGTACCTAAGGATAAAATAATCTTTGTTGTAGACGTCCTTAGCAGCAAAGTTGAAACACCAATCATGGTACCTGGACTCTGCTTGCTCGCGTCACATGACGGGAAGAAGGTCTATGTTCCAAAACCTGGAACTTAGATCTGGAGGTGACGTGAAGTTTGGAGGGAACCAGA